TACAGTGTACACTGTGCGGAAGGTGAATGACAAAAAAGCAGCGGTATAAAGCACACACAAAAGCACACACACACACACATTTGCCTGTACACCTGTTGATGTTATTGAACGCCTCTGGATCGGGTGCTAAATGTCAATGCAACAGTTTCACCAGTAAGCAACCAGTGATAGTGAANTGCACACACAAAAGCACACATTTGCATATCAACACAGTCGCAGCAGTACCTGTTGATGTTATTGAACGCCTTTGGATCGGGTGCTAAATGTCAATGCAGTAAGAAACCAGTGATAGTGAATAAGTCAACACTGTCACAAAGTAGCAACAGCAGCAGTGTCGTCTGTCACCGTCCTCTCGTACACTACCTCTACACTCCTTTATCAACCAGTGAAGAAGAAGAAGAAGAAGAAGAAGAAGACGCTTTGTGTATTGGAAGCAGCACTGAAATCAGTGATCACTGGTAATAATAATTGCAATTGTAAACGCTGATAAGAGTCTGCTGTGGTCCGGGTATACTTACTTAGAGAAAGAACAGTACAATATCTCTCGGTCCAACAGCATTGCCACAACATCTCGTGTTCTCTTTCTTTCTGGTGGAGGGCTTCTTTTGCTGCTTCTGTAGCAGCAGTTCCCTCGGTCAGTCGCCGCTCTCACTCTCTCACACAGTTTGATGATGGTGATGATGGTGATTACCACCCATCAACGGCAGCAGCAGCAGCAGCAGCAGCAGCAACGGTGATCATCATCCTTGGCGGAGTATATAAAGCTCGATGAGACGAGATCGACGACTACCACTGCCACCACCACCACCACCAGCTGCTTCAGAACTGCTGTAGAAAAGAGAGAACGACTCTTCTGCTTCTTCTTCTTCTTCTTCTTCTTTGAAAGCATTATTACAACATTGTTGCCGGCACACACCGCTCCTGATCACCGGCTGATCACGCTCCACCGAAGTGGCCGTCGTTACCTGACCATCACGTTAAATCCTTAAATCGCACGAAATTGCACAAAAGTAGCTGTCACCCTCAGAGGCATAGTTTTTAGCTACTGATAACAGCAACAAAAACAAAAACAGCCAGAGGACGCCAAGTTTTCACACGCCAAGTTCAAACCGGTTCAAATCAGCTGAAACTGACGCACAGTTACCCGGGGCGGTAGTGTCGATGATCATGAACTGAACTGATGCTGCTGCTGTAATCACAACACACACACAGCAAACCCGCCACCACTTTTACTTTTCCCGTTTTGAGCTGAACTTGATTTTACAGTAAAATCGTTTTTAACTTAATACCGTTCACACTATCATCTTCTTTTGAAAATGAAGCTCTACCCTGACATTCTCACCGACGAGGATCTGAGGCAGTCGCCGACGTCAGTCAGCCGGCCGCAGCAGCTCTACCCGTCCTTCAGTCGTCACCACCGCCTGAACCGATCAGTCAACCTGCCACCCTCATCACCCTCGTCACCCTCGTCCTCTTCATCATCATCTTTCTCCTCCTCATCCTCTGCGTCACCGATCCCCTCGATCACTACCTCGGACAGTCGAAGTACCTTCAGCAGCGTGGACACCGCTCTCACCAGCGCCAGTGGTGGTGGACTGACGGAGGAGCAGCAGCAGCAACCTCGGTACGACAAGAACCATAATCCCATTGGCGGAAGTAGGGCCGGCAGTCTGCCGACGATCATCTACCATGAGGTAAGCAGCTGAAGTGTTAACGACCAGCCAAATGTAACAGAAAGCTCATACACACACTTGCACCTGACATTCAATTTAACGGGAGAGGTTCTCTCTCTCTCTCTCTCTCTCTCTCTCTCTCTCTCTCTCTCTTTCTCCCGTCCGATGACAGATTCAATTACCCGGCGGATATGAGCAGTCATCATTTGATGATGATAGAAAACAAGAGAGAGATAGTGTTATTGACTGAGGTAGAGGTAGTAGTACGGACAGCAGTGATACTGCAGTAATGCGAGAAAGTGTTAGGAAAGGGATAGAAAGGGATACTTTTCCCTCTTCTCTCTTCTTTTTCAATTAGCAATTCAAGTGCATTGCCGTGCACTTGAATTGCTAATTGAGCCGCGACGGCTGAACTTTTCTGCCCTGCACCTTTCTACCTTTCTACCTCTACCTTTACTTTTTTCTCCTTTTTTCCAAATCACAATTAAACAGTTTTTTGCCGCTGATCAATGAAAATGATTATAATTAGGAAACTCAGTAAATCAAGCGCCGTCCAACTCGTTGACAGTGGCAGCAGCAGATTATCATCAATCACCGCTTGTACAATACAGAAAAAGCAGCAGGAACAGTAGTTGACTTAGCAGACGTGAGGCAGCTGTGTTTGCACAACGGTACATCGGCAGGTTATTATTTATACAGCAAAGCAGAAAGAGAGCGAAAATGAGGATAAACTTTTCCATTCACCTTCCCTTCCCTTCCCTTCTCTTCTCTTCCGTCATCATCACAACTACCTGTCTGCTGCAGCTAAATTAATCTTGTTTTCTTTTCTCTTTTTGTTCTCTTTTTGTTTGTAGATTTACAGCAAAGAAAGTTCTCGAAATGGAGGCAACAACAACAACAACAACAGCAACAGCCACTCTTCTCGATTCTTCACACTGGACCGATCTTTTGGTGAAAGGCATCAATTTCAGCAGTCGTTTGAGAAGAAAGCGCCTCTTCCTGTGGAAAGCATCTCTGAAGATGATGGACAAAGTTCCGGCCAGCTCACCCTCCGAGTGGCCATCGCCGNCGATTCTTCACACTGGACCGATCTTTCGGTGAAAGGCATCAATTTCAGCAGTCGTTTGAGAAGAAAGTGCCACTTCCTGTCTGCAAAAACTCTGAAGATGATAGACAAAGTTCCGGCCAGCTCACCCTCCGAGTGGCCATCGCCGCCCTGGCCGCCTTCCTCACCTCCTCCCTGCCCTCTGGCTTCAACATGGGCGTGGTGAACACCCCGGAGGCCACCTTTAAGGACTTTTTCAACTACACACTGAGCCTGAGTAGAAGGTCGGTGGTGGTGGTGGACCGCTCCCAAATCGAACTCCTCTGGTCGGTGGCCGTCTCGCTGCTGCTCGTGGGCGCCTTCATCGGCTGCACCTTTACCGGCTACCTGGCGGATCGGATCGGCCGTCGAGGGCTGCTCATTCTGAACGCCCTGCTCGGCCTCCTGGGCGCCGCCCTCTGCTGGATGGCCAAGTTTCTGGGGCCGTCCTTCTCGCTGCCGGTCTTCATCACCGGCCGCTTCATCTCCGGCCTGCACACTGGCGTCGGCTCCAGTCTGGTCCCCATGTACCTGATTGAGATTGCGCCCAAAAACGGGGGCGGTGGCGGCGGCGGCGGCGGCCTGGCCACCGCCCTCGGCGTCCTCCACGTCATTGGCCTGAACGGCGGCCAAATGGTGGCCATGACGCTGGGGCTGCAGTCGGTGCTCGGCTCTTCCGGCCGCTGGCAGCTCCTCTTTGCCGTCAACGGCGCCTTTATCGTCTCCGGCCTCGCCCTCCTCCTCCTCCTCAGTCCCGAGTCGCCCACCTACCTCTACGTCCTGCGGCGGAATGAACCTAAAGCAATTTCCGCTCTGCTCGCCCTGCGCGGAAAGGGCTCCGTCCTGGAGCTGCTGGACGAGGTGGCCGCCATGCGCCTGGAGGCGAAGAGTCGCCAAAGTGGCAATGCTCACCAGCTGTCTATTTTTACCATTTTGAAAAATAGTCGTCGCTTCCGGACGGCCCTTGCGGTGGTCTGCGCCCTGCACGCCGGCCAGCAGCTGGCCGGCATCAACGCCGTCTTCTACTACTCCACGAAGACCTTCCGCTCGGTGGGCCTCGCCGACCTGACCGCCCAGTACAGCAGCATCGGCTGTACGGCCCTCAACACGGCCATGGCCCTGGTGGCCGTCGCCTTGATCAGACGCTTCTCCTCGAGGACCCTCCTGCTGACCAGCGGCCTGGCCACCAGCCTCTGTCTGCTGCTGCTCACCCTGTGTATGAGCTTCCAGGCGGAGGCGTGGCTCAACTTTGCCACCATTGCCATCATTCTCGCCTATGTCCTCTTCTTTGCCATTGGGCAAGGTATGTTGTGGTTATCAGTGGTTTTCATAAGGTTTTCTTTCGGGCTAAAGTTTTCAATCACTATTTTCAGGCCCAATTCCCTTCATGATTGGCGGCGAGCTCTTTGACCAGTCGACGATGGCCATCGGCATGAGCATCGGCTGCTTTGTCAACTGGTTTTGCAACTTTCTCATTGGTAAGCTCTTCTTTTTCTTGTTTCTTGGTTGTCAAAGCTAACTCTTATTTTCCACCCCCTTTTTAGCCATCACCTTTCCGATGATCGCCATGCTCATCAACCAGTACGTCTTTCTCCTCTTTCTCGCCTTCAACCTGCTGCTGCTTGTCTTTGTCTACCTCAAAGTGAGTCCTCGCAAAAGTGTGGAGGCAGGAAATGGTGATCTTGAGGACGGAGGAGCTCAGGTGGTGGTGACCGAAAAACGGTGCAGCTCGGCAAAGGAAAGGACGTTAGGTGGAGTAGCTTAAATTAAATTAAAAAAAACTTTCAAGAGTCCTCCTCCTGCTCAAGTCATATCAAAAACGCAGAATGCTAGTCCAAAGAATCTTTTTTATTTTAATTTCTATCTACAATTCTTTTTCAACCTATGAATTCCTATCTATCCTACAACACACACACACACATGACTTATCGACAGAAGTCGCTCATTTTGTAAATACTTCAGTCATTTCCCCTTTCATCAATCAAAGAACGCATTTAAGTTAATTTTAACTGCTTATATTAAATTTAAAACAGCATTTTTATTGAATTTATTTTTTAAATTAAATTAAATTTTAATTTAAATTAATTTTTAATTTTAAATGAATTTAAACTGCATTTTTATTGACATTTTTATTGAAATAATTATTTAAAATTAAACTTAATTTTTATTTATATTTAATTATTTTAAATTGCATTGTTTTCTGCTGTATTAGCTCTAAAAAATCAATAAAAAAAAGATTTAAATTTTTTAAAAAATTTTTAATTAAAAAAAATTAAGTGGGCATTTTTCATGTTTCCCCTAGGGATTTTTGTTTTTGCCATATCTCAGGAACCGTTTGATTTATGATCAAAAGCTTTGGAGCGTTTGTGCAGGTGGCTAATTGTGATTTTTCAAGACTAAAACCAAGGGCCTAGCATGACCCAGGTCGGAGAAATTGACAAAAAACAGTTTTTAAACTTTAAAAAATTATAGCAAAAATTTTGTTTGGTTTATTGAGTTTTCACTTGGCATAATAATTTATTATTGCCTGTTGTTTAATTGAGCAATAAAATTATTTAGCTCACCACTTTTAAACTATTNAAAAAACAGTTTTTAAACTTTAAAAAATTATAGCAAAAATTTTGTTTGGTTTATTGAGTTTTCACTTGGCATAATAATTTATTATTGCCTGTTGTTTAATTGAGCAATAAAATTATTTAGCTCACCACTTTTAAACTATTAAAAAAAATTTTCAAATTTTTAAAATAAAAAGATACACATGCGCCACCTGTCGGAGCAGCTTTATTCTTGTGTCACAATGTG